TTCTAAATGTCATATCAATGCATTTGCTTTAAAGTACTATTTTCATAGGACTTGATTAGAAATATAATTTAATAAGTTTTTAAAAAGGAAAAATAACAAAAGGAAAGTGAATTAGAAGTTATGAAGCAGAGATCACGATTCTGAATATTAGACTTCTAATACTCAACATAATAGATTTGATGCTCATTAACAGTTCATTAATGCTCACTTGCCAGAAACCGTGATTTCCATCTCAATAGTGGATATTTGATGCTCAATTAAAATTTCGTATCAATTAATATTTGAATTTCGTGATATTCAATTAAAAAATCTTGCGATTTTCATATCAATGTGCACTTTTTAAGTTGAACATCATGACATTTTAATTGAGCATCAACCTCCACTATTGAAATTAAAATCACGACTTCTAAAGAATGAGTACTAATGAACTTTTGATGAGCATCAGACCTATTATATTGAGTATTAGGAGTCTAATATAAAATACTCCGTAGTACTTTTAAAATGGATTGATATGACATTTATAAAATGAGCATACGATCAGTTTCAGATGAACATACATATCAAACATCGTCTATTGAGATTGATGAAATTATATGAATTCTATTAAATGAGCATTAATGAATTGTTAATGAGCACCAGACCTATACAAATGCATATTATATGAAAATTGTAAGGTTTGTTAGTTGAACATCATGACATTTTAATCGAGCATCAACCTCCACTATTGAGATGAAATTCACGACTTCTGGAAAATGAGTAATAATGAATATTTAATGAGCATCAGACCTATTATAATGAGTATTAGGAGTCCAATATTCAGAATCGTGATCTCTGCTTCATAACTTCTAATTCACTTTCTTTTTGTTATTTTTTCTTTTATAAAAACTTATTAAATTATATTTATAATCAACTCCTATGAATTTTAATATGTGAACCTAATGCAAAATAGAATAGTATTTTTAAAAAATGCATTGATATGAGATTTACAAAATGAGTATAAGATGAGTACCAAATGAGCACAGTAACTTACAAAATGCGCATTGATACGAAGATCGTAAGATTTGTTAGTTGAATATCATGACATTTTAATTGAGCATCAAACCTCCTCTATCGAGATCAATGAACATTAATGAATTTTTAATGAGCATCAAACTCACACAAATGAGCATATGTAACTTACAAGATGATCATTGATATGAAAATGGTAAGTTTTGTTCGTTGAACATCAAGACATTTTCAGTGAGCATAGAACCTCCGTTATTCAGTGTTAGAGTCATGCAATTGAGTTTCATGATTTGTGGTCTCGTGTCTATAATCAAATTCTATGTAAATCTAATGTGATAATGTGACATGAGACTTTTGAAATATGCATTTACAAACATTTTAAAATGAGCACAACAAAGGTACTAAATGGGCATACAGAACTTACAAAATGAGTTTTCAAAAATTCAAATACTCATTTGTGTATATTCATTCTTTTTAGACGCTTTAATTATTTGAGTTTAAAATAAAACTCATTTTTAATATGCTCGGTATTAATATATTACTAGTAATACATAAAGAAAAAAAAGGAAACAAGAAATAAAAGAAACGAAAAGAAAAAAGACAAAAAAAGTAAACTAACTAAAGTAAAAGTGACATAAAAGTAAAATAAAAAAGACAACAGGGACGGCGGCTGAAAAAACAAAGACAATGGCAGCTGAAATTAATATAAGCAACTCGGAGTGATCGGATGAGATTGACGGCAGAAGAAGAATCCGGCATAGAGCACGGATGAGAGAATCAGCTTGTCACGTTTCAAAAAGTTGATAGAAATTTCAAAAAAAACGGGTGTACATGTACACCCGGATGTACGATATAAATTGCCTATAGAGGGCGGGAACTTTCCACCACAACTATTATTAATAGATAATAGATTGGTCTTGGACCTTCAAGAGAGATATTTGGGAACAAATCTCTCGAATTCACATTCAGTAGCTATCAATATATTTATACTATTTTATTTCTTGTACGAATCCCAATACCCTTTTCATTCATTTTATTTGATTGTTTGAACTAGCATAAAAATTGATAAACAGAGGGTATGCCTAATTATTGTCTAGAATTCTATAAACTCAGACATGTATCTTGTCAAAAATACCCCCTAGTTGGACCAGGACCATCCCCCTCAGCTATTCCAACGCCTCCAGAAAAAGCAATTATACAAAAAACCAAACGCTAAACTATTAAGCACCCTCAAAAGCAACCAATAATAAAGCTCTAGCTTCACTAGAGAATACAAATGAAAAGCTTACAAATGATCAGCTTGATAAATCTCAAAGGCAGGACAACATTCCAGTCAACAACGGCCATAGTTGATCTTTCTCTTCACTGAGACTGAGCCGACTACCACTATCAAAACCAGTACAGACCTTCCAGCAACCTTGCAAGCTACGAATGTACCTATACAAGAAGAAAACACTTCGGAAGACTTTCAAGCTCAACAACAGGCTCCCCTTCCATCTAGTTTTTCTCTTTTAACCCGGTGAGTAAACCACCAAAATCGGTGGGGTAAATGTCGGGGAACATTTATCAGAATTTCATAAACACAAAAGGAAGTACCTCAATCTCCTTCCATCTAGTATTTCACAATCTTCTGACAAACACATGGACGAATTAATAAAGAAGATTAGTAAAACCAAAACAATTATGGTCGCGGAAAGCCTGATGACAACTAACACCTATCAACGAACTTAATCATCATCATCATTACCATAGTGCCGCAAAGGCTCCCACACCTTCAGTGGGGTAAGGGGGGTCGGATTTACGCAGTCTTACCCTTGTACTAAAGCACGGAGAGACTGTTTCCGGATGATCCATAGTGAACATTGCGTTGAAAATTGCATGAATTGGCAGTTGCTTCATCACAAAGAAACGCACCCACATTAGTAAGTCATTTTACTTTATTCCATCATATTCTCAAGCCAAAAAATAGTGAGTCTTTGGCTCCATTGCAAATGATGGAAATATTAACGAACTTAATAATGGACGAAAATTCTTAACACTTTCATCCAAAAAGTTAAGATAGTCCAGAGAGCTGCTACGGCAAAGGATGCTTGTGTTGGAAAAATTGGCATTAAATGGCTATTTTTGGGCAGAATTTGGAGTGAGGTCCACTTCCAATTTGGGTCGGGTCAAAGTGGATTTGGGTTGCCTTGGTAAAGGGTTCGATTCGATATATGGTACACTCAAAACGGATAACGGGTGAATGAGAAATTGATTCTCGAATTTCACTCGTTGAAATGTAGAAATTGGAAAAAGGCATGGGTTTCAACTGGGAATTGTCCCACACCGGAAAACCCAAAGGATTTGCCCCACCTTATATATGAGATTTGTTTGAAGGTGTTAAGATTGTATAGCGGAAAGGATCTATCCGCGCACGGGGGTGCAAATCAAATCTTGAAACGCTAAAAAACTGTGACTTGTGTGCACGGGCGTACTGCAGACTCGAATGTCATTTGAAAATCTATCTTAAACAATGGCCGGTTAATGGTCGATTACCACAATAAGTGTGGTTTTAATGTGAGTTTAATAGCTCCTCCTCTCCTATATATGCGTGATAGATTTTTGGGAACTGCACAAACTAATATACAATAATACATTGAAGTGACCACAGCGACCTATACACTAAATTGTCCCAAAACAAACTCTACCAGCTTCCGAAAAACTTCTCATGTTCTACCCTTTGTTCTGTTCGTCGAAGCAACCTGTTGAGTGATTAATAGGGTTGTTTGTAAGCCATCGTATCCTGAGAAACCAACGTTGCAAGTTGCAACGCTCCTAGTACCTTGGGAGGCAGCAAATTGGTTTTAAGGACATTGTGAGTCGCAAAAACTTTTGTACCTTTGTTCGTTCTATATTATGTTCGTACGACCTATTTTATTTTCTTATTTTTCGAAAAACAAACTCAAATTGAGGCCGAACCGGCGGCTGCACTATAGTTGTTTTAAAAAGAACAAGAAGAAACAACAAATCCAAGTTTCTCACATGGAACATGAGAATTACAATGATCACAATCAAATCCACCAACCAATCATCACCGGAAATTGAGCAAAGTCAAGACAAGTTGATGATGATTTCATGATTTCCCAAGAAGAATTAAAATTCCAATCACCACATAAGCTTGTCAAAGGACTCCAGAGGTACAAATCTTCACATCCGGAAGCATCGATATACCCTTTGTACATTCAACGGGTCATAAAGTTCCACCTCAGATTCAAAAAAGAGCTATCCACTCAAGTAGGAGTTCCCACTGTCTTTAATACTCCGTCTGTCCCGCTACGATTGTCTCATTTTTTCTTTTTGATCTGTCTCACTAAGATGGTCTCATACCAAATTTGGTAAAATTTGAGTGATTCTAAATCATTTTACTTTATTCTTACTTTATTAATTTAATATCAACCACATAAATCTATTTTTGTTAATAATTGTGTCACCTCCTCATGTCCCAATGTTAGTGGGATGGAGGTAGTATTTTTTTTTTGGGTGTGAGGATGGAGGTAGTATTAAATATCTTTAATGTGTCTTCCTTCATTACTTGTGCCTCTTCACATTTTCATTAACTTTTATGGGTAAGGTTTACATCCCCTCTTTTTCTTTGTACTCACACTTGCTACATTAATAAATAGTGTAAGTGTTCCATGTCGCTTACCCCATTGATAGGTGGTTTCCCCTAGGCTTGAAAAAATGAGCACCCTTAATGCATATTGTTATAATTTATATATTCATATTCATGTTAACCATTCAGCAACAACTGCTACAAACGATACCTAGCATTGACTCCTGAAATCACTCAAGCTAAGGTATTATTATTGATCTGCTTAAACTTACAAGTGTACAAATACCAAAGTACGTAGTAATAAAAACCAATAAAAATACTAGACCCAACACAAGGAAACATTGTTTATATAATTCAAAGTCGAAAATATTTTTTATAAAGGATTTAAAATGAAATAAAAAACAGGGATTTGATTTCAAACTATAATACAAACAACCAAGAGTATGGGGATTACTTCTAAACAACAGTAAGTGATGACGATATGTTTTTCACCAATTCTTATGGGCAAAATGTCTCTAAAATATCCTAAACTTGTGTTATGGTAGTGAGATTGTGAATACCCCTACGTGCAAATCCCGTTATGGTTTACATCCCATTAGAGATATAACCCCTTTAAAGATTAGAACATTGTGCGGTTTATAATCTAACGTTAATTGCCCAAATAAATCCAACGATATAATCATACGTTGTACACTGTATTCACACACATTAAAATTATAAAGGAAAGATCATAACAAATTGGGTCAAAACATACATCAAGCACTAAGAGTGCGTAAAGTTTCATGCCTAACCTAGCTCAAGGAAAATTAGCTACAACAATACATAATGAAATCACAAGTATTGAAATATTAAATCAAAATCAATCAATCATCATTTACCCCAGTGCCGCAAAGGCTCCCACCTACGGTGGAATAAGGGGGGGTCGGATGTACGCAGTCTTACCCCTGTATTAAAGCATTTAGAGACTGTTTCCGGATGACCCATAATGAAAACCGCGTCCAAAATTGTATGGTTTGACTGCTCCTTCATAACAAAGAAGATCAGACAGTTTGGTGAGTTATTTTGCTTTATTCCATCATATTCTCAAGCCAAAAAATAATGAATCTTTGGCTCCATTGCAAATGATGGAAAGTATTGAAATATTAAATACAAAAGAAAAATAGTACCAAATCTCCAAAGCTGTGGTGGACAATCGTTTCCCAAAGGAAGGACTTCTCTCAAGACCAAAGAGGTGCTTTTGAGATGAATATGTAGGAGTGGAGTAGTGCAGAAAATGTGATAATCCCTCATGAGGTTTCAAAACTCTTATATAGAGTCTTCAACAGCAACCTTTGGACATGAATGGTTGTGAAGACCATTCTCTATTTTAATCATAAATCTGGGCAAAGTCAGACATCTTTCACTTAAAAAATCATTTGTCTTCATCATAGGGGTCAACAACCGGGCAGCGTTTGGAATTACATCATCAAATAAACTACGACCTAAGGTTTCTGAGAAGCTTTTGGAAAAGCTAATTAAAGTGGCTTTCACATTTTTTTATGTCGAGCTCCTTTCTTCTATCTTGAATGGCTCCTGGGGTAGCTTGGCAGGTAAAAATTGGACGGCTTCTGTGGAATCTGGGCAGCTTGCACGTCATTTATGTAGTGTTGTTGGCCTTGGCTGTTCTTTGGGGTGCGTTTGGTTGACGTTTTCTTGTCGGGACTCTTCATGTGTGTTCTATTCATATTTGTATTTGGTCCAATCTCTAATAAAAAAAGCACTTTCTAGCAAAACGATGCAAATGTCTAAGGTTTTAATTCTTAAAAACCATTAGAAAAACACTTATTAATTCTAATATAACATGAAGGCATCAAAGCAATATGGAAATAACCATTTTATTTCATTGTGCCTAGTGCATGCATGTAAGCACCTTGAGAGACTAATAGTGTTACTATATACTTGGGCTAGTTACTTAATAAAATTTTCACAATTCTCTTGAACTTGGTTATAAATATCACGTGATTAAGTGGAGCTTTTAAGTATTTGTTATGTTTTGAGCACTGTGGATAGACTAATAGGCCAATTGATCAGTTCGGTCAATAAGATCCTAATTTATTTTCCTTTGATGCATGCATGCAGACCTCCATCTTGAAAAGTGGTTCCTTACGACATGATATTCACTATTGGCTTGGCAAGGATTCTAGTGGGGTATGTTGTATATATGTATGTGTTGAAATATTTGTCCCACACCGGAAAACTATAAAACAATAATACACTATATAAGACTTCCGGCTACTCCTATCAAGGTTGACCTTTTAGGATGGAATCCCGGCCCGAGCCTTAACATGATATCAGAGCCAAATCTGGTTGTGGTTTGACGGCTTGTTTAGCACATATGACTTTGGACTACTCCTCCTATCAGGTTAACCTTTTAGGATGGAACCCCGAGTCTTAACGGTATGTTTTCTTATTCCATGCATGAGCTAGCTAGCTAGATTGAGTCATTTAATTATATAAATTTCCAACTTTCTTACGATGAATTGAAGTGATCGCATAGTCGCACTGATGGAATAATGTTTATATATATATATATAGGATGAAGCTGAGATAGCAGCTAATAAGAGTATTGAGCTGGATGCAGCTGTTGGAGGACATGCTATTCAATATCGTGAAATGCAAAGCCATGAAACGAAGAAGTTCCTTTCCTATTTCAAGCCATGCATCATCCCACAAGAAGGTGGACCCGCCCCACCTCACGTGGAATCAGATTATACGACCCGTTTGTATGTATGCAGAGGAAAACATGTTGTCCACGTCAAAGAGGCAAGCCCGGCCAGCTCCTCTCGCTTGTTGTTATAGCAGTGGTAGTAGTAGTAATACTTATAATAATTATAATAATAATTATATATAATAGAATTATTATATCGTCCATTAATTAATACTCCATTATGGTAATGAACCCAATTGGGAATCATATATAAAATGGGACAGAGGAATAACATTCCTAACTTGATTTGTTCTTTATTTTTTGTTAAATAAAATTTTGTTTCTAAGTGATTCAATTTGACAGGTTCTTTTCGCTCGGTCCTCACTAAATCATGATGACATCTTCATCCTTGATACAAAGTCTAAAGTTTTCCAATTCAATGGTGCAAATTCATGTATTCAAGAGAGGGCCTATGCACTTGAAGTTGTTCAATACATAAAGGACACTTATCACAACGGAAAGTGTGAGGTGGCTGTGATTGGTAATTGAGCAAGACGTACTGCATGCTCTTAACCATATGTACATGCATTAGTAACTTTTTGATGAATTAAATAAATGCTTCTATGCATAATGATGTAGATGATGGCAAACTAATGTCTGATTCTGATACGGGGGAGTTTTGGGCCCTGTTTGGTGGATTTGCACCACTTCCAAGGAAAACAATTAAGGATGACTACTCGACAAATGCTACTTCGCTTATAAGAAGACTGTATCGGTATCTTTTTCTTTTAATATTTTTCTATTTTTTGAAACTTATAAGGTTTTGATTAAGAACTTAGAATATTTGATTCTTCTCACTTTAGTCTTTGACCACCACAGAAACCTCTTATCATTTTCTATGTTTTCATGATACGGAGTATTAAAATAATTCCCCTGCCTAATCGTGGAGGAGTGATCTCGTATTATTATTATTTCTCCTAATCTTTCTTCTTCTTGTTTTTTATTCTTTTACCCTTATATATATAAACATTATTTTTATCCTTTTTATTTTATCATTTTTAAGTATATTTATCCCGTTTTATATTATCTTTTTTATATTAGCTTATTTTTTTATCTTTATTTTCTTTCTTTTCCTTTTGGTGGTGTTATCATGTATTGATTCATGTTAGCCGACCCCAATATCTTTTGGGACTAAGGCTTGAATGTTGTTGTTGTTGTTGTTGTAATTATCGGCTGAATAAAAAGAAAAGGAAAAAAACATTAATCATATAACGGGGGGGAGAAGATAGCCTTCAATCCTCGACCCGTCCAACTTCAAAATATCTTCCTCATTTCCATCTTAAAAATCTCATGTTTCCTTTCTAAAAAGAAGTATGTTGTTCTTATCATTTTCACTCATATCAATCAAAATGTCAACCCCAGTTTTTAATTTTAAAGTTAAAACTCCACTTTCAAGTTATCCACACATAAATCTCTTCCTTTGATGTAGTGGGTTTGTCTCAATATATATGTGTATTGCCCACCCTCCCCTCTAGGTAGTCTTAGCCTCACTAGGGGATATAAGAGGGAAACACCATTAGATCCAAAATTTTGAATATTTTTTGGCCGGTCCAATACTTCAGCATTATTAAGCATTGGGTATGAGATGCAAGAAATGATTACTCTTAAATCTATGAAATCTATCAATGACAATTTTGTTTCAAAATATTACACAATTGCTTAAATAGTTACTTATGGTGCAACTTTTGTTCCAATATGCAATTTATCTGATGATAATTCTTGTCGTTATTATGCATTTTTTACATAATTTTATCACATACACTATTTTTTATGAAGTATGATTTATTTAAACATTCGAGAGAGACAAATCTACAATAGGCTTTTGCTTATAGGCCGTGAAAACATATATAGGACCAGCACTGCCTACTCTATGTAGTAAACTCTTACAAAGTGGTTCTAGTTGACCTTGTTTTCAAGCGGGTGAAGATAGCTTTCAATATATTAAATTTACCATTTCAGAGTTGAGGCAAGAAAGGCCGAACCTGTTGATGGAGATGCTTTAACGAGGGACATGCTAGATACCAATGGAACGTACATCCTTGATTGTGGAGATGAGGTTTTTGTGTGGATGGGAAGGAATACGTCTCTTGATGAAAGGAAATCTGCAAGTGTTGCAACACATGTACGTACTGCTGTATTATAATCCCTTGTCCCGTGCTGTAAGACACATTTGGATTTCACACGAATTTAAAAAAAAAAATAATGAATATGGTTTTTCTTTTATCATTTTAACCACCAAATAGTAAGTAAAAAAGTAAAAAAGTTAGTTAATATTTATAATTTGGAATAATGAAAGAGTTTTTTACATAAATATTATCAATACACTTTGGGTTTACAAAAAAGTGAGTAAGGGAGAATAACTACCCATCGTCTATCGTGCCATCATTCATTTTTTTCATCAGTCTGTTTTTTTTCATCCGACCATAATTGTCATTATTATAATCGTGTCATCACGATTCATAAGGGGTCCCACACCATGGATCGCTTTGGTTCTGATACCATGTTAAGACTTGGGGTTCCATCTTAAAAGGTCAACCTGTTACGAGGAGTAGCTCATGTGTTAATATAGCACTTTGTTCATCCAAATTTTTCCGGTGTGGGACATTTAACAATACTATGTACAATATAGGAACGTAGTTATCTTTCCGGTGTTAGTTGTTTAGTTTAGTTTGATTCCATGTTCTTAGATGCTAGTTTGTAGAACTTATCTTTACTTTCTTGTACTATATTAGTCTATATAGATCACCAGGTGTCCAGGTGTATAATATAAACTGATCATTAATATATACACCCATCTACCACATCTCTCTCATAGCCACCGCCAAATTTCCAATCAAAATTGCAACCTCAAACTTCCCTGTGAAAGCCCACTCTGCCCTTGTTGGTCTTCACCTCAAGGTTTATGTTGATGGAACCGATCTTGCTCATGATAAGTATCTCAACGATGGAAAATATCAACTCAGCCCTTGCTATGTAATTTGGTATCGGCAGAATAGTACTATCATCAATGCTTTAATAGGTAGTTTCTCCAAAACAATTAACCACTTATCTCAAGAGTGGTCATTGCTTGTCATGCCTGGGAGAAGCTGGATCTTGATCAGCTACACTACTAATTCTCGCAGACGAATCATCTCCCTCAAAACGTCTCTTGCCTAGACTACAAACGGTGTTCATTCCATCACTGACCATATTGCTGAGATGTTTGCTCTCTCATTGAGGCTCTAACCCTTGATCAAAATCTCATCCCGGAAGAAGATCTCATTATTAATATCCTAAATGGCCTCACATATGATTACAGTGAACTCACCTCTTCCATTTATGTTCACTCCTCAACATTACTATTGACTGAACTTCAGGACATCTTATTACTTGAACATGAGCGACGTCTCTATGAAGCTTCCACTGTCAATCACTCTCTTGTTTCATGGCAAATATCACGCACATTACTCCACAAATGAGTGCTCGCCGGTTATCTCATCACACCATTCAGCTTGGACCCCGTGCTCATCATGGTTGTGGGGCTCATTATGGAACACTTTCTTGTTCCTCCACATCTACAATCATGTCGTTAATATGACATTCTGGGTCATGATGTGAAACAGTGTCGCAAGTTGTAGAGGTTTCTACAAGATAATAAAACCTCACATCCAGCAACAACGCAACATCCAATGGTTAATACCATGTCTACTTACTCATTTCGTGGTGGGCAGCCTTGGCTGTTTGAGAGTGGGGAGTTGCAGCATGTCACTTATTGTCATATCTAAGATGACCAGCAACCATCCTATATTCCTATACTGACAATGGTGGTTCGGATAGAGTCCATCTTGGTGATTATACGTGCTTTCAAATCGCACGCAGGTTTTTTTTTAAACCCGGTTGTAAACCAAAGCCCGAAAGGTCTTGGGGTGAGGACCAGGGAACACCTCGCCAATTTATTAGATGAAAGAGAATACAAAGAGTAGGGGGATCAAACCGAGGCCTGCTCAAAAATTAAATTACACAAGGGTAGCTAATTGCGTCAAATTTAAGTATGCCAACAAAATGATAAAAGTAAAGAGTCCTGTTTTAATCGAGGTGCTGTGATAGGCCAAATACTCCGCTGCTTTATTGATCTGAGGATTGACAATGGTAACTGTCCAGTTGAGATTTTTGAATTTGTCTTTGATGGTGCGGATTCGAGACCAATGATAAAAGTAAAGAGTCCTGGTTTTAATCGAGGTGCTGTGATAGGCCAAATACTCCGCTGCTTTATTGATCCGAGGATTGACAATGGTAACGGTCCAGTTGAGATTTTTGAATTTGTCTTTGATGGTGCGGATTCGAGACCAATGCTGCAGTTTTTTCCCAGCAATCCCTTCATAAACTTCTTGATTTTCTACCTCAAAGACCAGATTGGAAAGGTTAAGGCTCTGCAAATGAGGAATGGTATTAATAATAGCATCAAAACAAGCTGAAGTGCAGCTGTTAGACTTATCAATGAGGGTGTCCTGGGCAATGTAATTTCCCTTGTCGTCACGAATGATAGCAGCCGTGCACCCCGTAGTGGGTGTGATATTTCGGGTAGGCAAAATTAATTTTATTGTAATTTGGAGGGGGCTTAGTCCAGTAGGTGGTAGTCGGTATTTATGTTTTGGGATAACATGGTTAAAATGATTGATAGGACCTTGAAAATCTTTATACCAACGGTCATGTAGTTTTTGGAACTCCTGGGCGAAAATTAAAATGATTTTTTTCAAAGGAACTCCAAAAACCAATGCTAAAACTCCAGTTCATAAAAAAATGGTTTATTGTGTTCTGATTGCTACAAAACAGGCATTTAAAAGGGCCATTTATACCCATGTTTCTGAGGTTATCTTCAAAAGGAAGGATTATGTTTTGGAGTCTCCACAAAAAGAAAGAGATTTTCTTACGCGTAAGATTATTCCAAAAATACTCAGCAGACTGGTTAGTATTCATTTTTAGTCTAATCACATCATTGGCGCTATTAAAAGTGAACTTGCCATTAGGATTTGGTTTCCCAATGATTTGGTCCATATCATCACAGAAATGAATGTTCATCCCCTGAATTTTGTCAACTACAAAAAGGGAAAGGTTGTCAATAACCGACTGGGTCAAGTTGTTTTCGAGCATGGCCTCACGAATGGTTAAATTATTGAGATTCAGGGGGGATCTCATCCTGAAAGTGGTATATCGGACAGAGGTCACACCAGTTGGTGTACCGGAAGGGACTGTCCCCTTTGTTAATCTGAGTGAAGCAGTTTTCCTCAAAAAGGTTGTTAACAGAATTTAGGGACTTGCTCATGATAGTTAAGGACTCATCCCTTGGGAAATTAACCCAAAAAGCCCACAACCCAGTCTCATTCCTAAGCTTCCACTTAAGTTTCAGAAAAAAAGTTTTCTGAATTTGGCGAAGGCTTCTAAAGCCCAGCCCATTCTCATCTGTGGGGAAGCAGATATTATTTCAGCTTCTCCAGATACGCCTGTTGTGGTCACGGCTTTTATCCCACAAGAAATGAGAGAGTTTCCTCTCCATTTTGATCAAATCACACGCAAGTTCCACTACACTACCTGTCAATTCTCGCCCTCTAACCCTTTCTAATAATTTATGGGTTGCTCGATCGTCTCCGTAAAAATATGGTGTTTGTTTCTAAACTACTCCAATCTAAGAATGTGTTTGTTGAATTCTTCATTTCTTATTTTGTTGTCAAGGGTCGGGTCATGAGAGCGTCACTCATGCCTGGGGAGAACCATAATGATATCTACTATGCTCCCTCTAGAGTATTTCCTCAATTCAATCTCAGGCAAAGGTCAGTTCAGTCAAAGGGGCATCATACACTTGGTTATCCGTCTAGTCATATTTTCAATTTCTTAGTCTGTCAAATCAAACGTGACATTCCTTGTAACACTTTCGTTGATTCTCATTGTATGTCCAGTGAAGTTAATAACAGTACTAAACTACCACTTGAATTGATGGAGTTTGACAGTGTTTGGAGTACCACTCACTGGTTGTCACTGATGGTCAGTGAAATTATTACTCGTTATATCCGGTTATACTCACTCTAAATTGTGTATAAAGTTGGTCACATTTTTACTCAATTCCATCGCTTATTGAGAATTTTTTAATCATAAAATCAAAATTGTTTTCTCTAACAGTCACGGTGAATATATCAACTCAGGTTCCTACCTTAATACACATGGTATTTCCCACTTCACTATCCCACCTCACACTCCTGAACAAAATAAACTTTCAGAGCACCGGCATTGTGGATACCGGTCTTGTGCTACTTCATTATTCGGGTTTACCACTCACTGGCCTTATGCGTTCCAAATAGCAGTGGACTAATAAATCAATTACCAACTACGGTTCTCCGTCAGATCACACAAGTAGATATGTACGGTTCATTCTAGAAAGTTATCCATTTCGCACACAATCTGCATGCATGTATATGTTGTTGCATGCAGCCCACGCTCCGTCATCCTCACGTAATCATGATAATCCTATGCCGCCTCAACTGGGTTCCAAGTCTACTCTCTCTCCCGTTTTTCTTATACTCAACTAGTCAAGCCTCACACACCACTCCCAATGTCCCATCCTAATTCTATGGTTAACTCCCACAAATAACAATTTGATCGACCCAAAGTCTTCTCCTGTTCTGCCACAAACAATTTAATTTCATCCGCCTCTCACCAAATTATATCTGCTCCAACCTCATCTCATGTTGTCTCCTTCAAATACTCCCACCAATCTCTTACTTTCATGTCACTACCTCAACAACCCCAACCTTCTCATTCTGCACCTGTACCCGACATGTCTTTCAGTATACCGACCCTAACTTTACCCTCTTCTACTAGTCCCATTCGAAAACGGATCCCCAACCCAAAATATTTTTGTAGCCTTTGGTAACTCTACCGCCCGTCATCTAGTACCATCTATACCTAAACCCACAAGTGTACAACAAGCCTTAGCGGATCCAAGATGAAAGACTGCTATGGATGAAGAGAATCAGAGATGGATGCTCTTCAACACCGCAACAACATGTGGGCTCTTGTACCTCGTGCTATTCATAAGCCCATCACATGCAAATGGTTCTTTTGTATTAAATGTCATGCTGATGGAGTGTGGCTCAGTTTAAATCACAACTTGTTGCTCGGATATTCATTAAAATACTGGGTCAAGATTGTTTAGAGACATTCAGTCCAGATACCAAAACAGTCCAGACTTCTATTTATATTTATTTATTTCTATTGTGTACGTGAATATATTAGTTGTTTCACATAGCTCGACTCCATGTGTATTTTTATGTACATTAGTTGGTTGAATTTATCTTTATATATATACCACCAAGTTTAAATTATAAACTGATTAATAATATATACACATTCTACCCCAACTCTTCATAAAAGATTACTAAGAAATTATGTTTTATTTATAGTTTATTATTTATTCTTAAGTTCACATTATATTTATCGAGTCTATGATTGAACTTTGCAACTGCAAGCATGTGTTTTTTCACCTTCTAGGAACTCTTACGTGGTCTTGATAGAACCAAATGTCATGTGGTTTGCATGAATGAAGGATTTGAGACAGTAACATTCCGAAAATGGTTTGACACCTGGCCCCAGTCAAATGGTGTGGCTGTAATGGAGGATGGAAAAGGAAAAATTGCTGGTGAGTAACAAATAAATTATCCTCTAGACGTTTCATTCCACAAATTTTATTATGACTATATATATCTTTTTCTTCTGACCGCATTCACCTATATATATGTGTCACCTATATATGTGTGTGCGCATGCGTGTGTAGGATTGAGATCAAATGAGAAGGCATCTTAACGTGTAAAATAAGAACTAATCCAAGCCGTCGAAACCATCAATCTGATGCACAATAACCCTAATAACCCAAATCTGATGCACTTTTGGATAAATCTTATCTGATGCACTTTGAGAAAGTGCATCAGATAAGGTTTATTCGAAAAGTGCATCAAATGAAGTTTATTGTGCATCATATTGACTTTCTGTATGTCTGAGATTAATTTTTATTTTACATGTTAAGACCTTTTTTATTTGATGCAATATATACGTAGTATGTTGGATAATTCATATCAGGCCGAGGTCATTTGAGGCTCTTTCCGGCGGAATTTTTCGATGAAATTTTTTGAGCATGTTCTTCATCAAGTGTGGATTATCTCTACAAAATTTTAGTTTGAAATTCATACTGCGCTATATGTATATAAATAATGCACAATATGTTTCAATAATCTATTTAACTGACTTCTCGATTGAATTTTAAGCTCAAATTTTGTGGATATCATCTACATTTGATGAAGAACATGATCAAAAAAATCCAACAGGAAGGCCCCTAATGGCTTCGACCTGACGGCGGCCGCGGTTCCCATTAGGCCGGTGGAATTTTTTAATGAAAATTTTTGTGCATGTTCTTCATCAAGTCTAGTTTATCCACACAAAAATTCAGCTAAAAATTCAATCGGGAATTAAAGGCAGTCAAATAATTTTTGGGAGATAACTGCGCCGAAATATACATATAAAAATGCAGTTATCTTTCAAAAAGTATTTGACTTACTTCCCGGTTGAACTTTTAGCTGAAATATTTTGTGGATAAATTAGAGTTGATGAAGAACATGCACAAAAAAAATCATCAAAAAATTCCACCGGGAAGTGACCCAAACGCTGGACGGCGGTTCTGGTTCGGAATTCCGGACTTGAAGATTTCTCTCTATATGTGTGTGTGTAGGATCAAATACAAATAGTCCTTCCCATGAAAAATAGGAATAAATCTAAAGCATCGGGGATTCAAGATCTAATGGCTCTAAGCCTCCAAATATGTCAAAAATGCACTAAAGTGGATGGAAAACGCAGTGGCATTTTCGTAAATAAATCAGATTTATTTACTTTTGCAAAAAGTGGACTTCCAGTGTGCAATAGTGTACCGTAAAGGACCAAAAGTGGATGGCAGAAAATTTCTTAATGCAATAGTGCACCTTATATGCTCAAAAGTGGAGACATTCCCATTTTGTATTTTAAGACTGCTTTTTATTGGAACCAGACCATGTGTGAGTGTGTGTTCACCAAAAGATGCGGTGATTCCAAAAATATGATTAGATAACTTATTATTCCCAAATTAATGGTGTTTTATATGTATGGTATGTATTTTTATCCTACTTTTTCTCTCTTGATTTTAATTATATTATTACTCATATAGACTCATGTTTAGGTTTTCTAGCCATTCATTAAGAATCTGTTAATGTTTAGAAACTCATACAGCTTACTAGTTTTGCCTGTTCTTATCCTTTTTATCCTTTCATGATGTTTCTCTAGCACTTCTAAAACGTCGGGGGGTTAATGTGAAGGGTCTTGTAAAAGATACTCCTAAAAAAGAAGACGAACCTCAACCACATATAGATTGCACAGGGGATTTACAGGTGCGTGCATGCTCTATATTTCAATCTACCTATCTATTGAAAATGTTGTGTCAAGATATTCTATATATGAGCTTAGTGGACACAAAAATTTTAAAAAGACCCATATGACTCCCTTATGGAGTCATATGGGGTATTGTGGCACCATCCATTTTTTAGTAGAATACCCCACTAAAAAATGGGTGGTGATGATGGTACCAGAATACCTTATATGACTCCATAAGGGAATCATATGGCTGTCCATAAATCTACTCATTATATGATGTAATTCTCCTATAGGTATATATTTATTTATTTATGTTGTGCAGGTTTGGCGTGCAAGTGGTGAACAAAAGATTCTTCTTCCAGCATCTGATCAATCAAAGTTCTATAGTGGGGACTCTTACATATTTAATTATTCGTATCCTGGTGAAGATAAGGAGGAATGCATTATTGGCACATGGTTTGGGAAGCAAAGTGTTAAGGTAACATAATTAAGAGTTTATCGATTTCCTTTCTTCATCCTTCTATACTAGCTCTTGTCTCTAGCTAGCAGCTAAGCCACCCTAATTCTTAGAAGCTATGGAAAGATTGAAAGACAAAGAGAGAGTGATTGTCATTGAACCAAGACTAGAAGTGCAGAGTAACTATTTATATGCAAAAGAGGGTAGTTTCACCACTCACGTAATAGTAACATAGAGGAAGTGTTAATTGTGCTGATTACATAAATAGAGTGATCTTCTTATACAACCGGACTGACTGGAGGTGGCGTACGGCCAAGTCCGTATGAGATGCTTCCGATGAAATTTTTTAATGAAATTTTGTGAGCTTATTATTCATGATGTGCAAATTATGTCCACAAATTTTTAGCTTAAAACTGAACTGGGAAGTTAGTTAAATAAATTATTGAAAAACACTGCGCAAAAATATGCATAAAAAACGCAGTGTTTTTCAACAATTTATTTAACTGTATTTCTGATTGAGTTTTACGCTTAAATTTTGTAGATATAATTTACATTTCATGAAGAACATGCTCACAAAATTTTATCAAAACATTTGACCCAGAAACACCTTAAACGGGATCTGCCGTATGGCACTTCCAGTCAGTCCGGTTGGATGAGAATATTCCTCTCCATAAACAATAGCTACATAGTGTGACTCCAATATATAGGAATATTCAAACAAACATTCCAAAGGTTCGCATAAACTCAAATCATATAAACTGAAAGAATTGCCCTAAATATGAGTATAAAAACGCTTTATAATACCAAAGTAAGAGCACTATATTTTTACTCCCTAATAAGAGTAATTTATGTCATGCTTGAAAAATACTGTCAATTATGACAGTATACTACCAGTATTATATTTAAGGCTGGATAATATCAAAATATGATACTACGTAGTATATTTTGAGGATGAGAGTGACATACTCCTATTTCCAGGATTTTCTCTATAAACTACCTTGCTTGGTCCCACCAATACGTGGGAGACAATCTTTAATGTGTTGTGATAGTGGTTCAGAATTGTATTTTGTTTGTATGGAGTATATAGGAAGATCAGATCTCAGCAACTTCACATGCAAGCAAAATGGTTGAGTCCATGAAGTTCTTGGTGACTCAGGTATAGTATAGTATATATACATCATACATACATACATATATATATATATATATATTGCTAGCTGCATGCATGTTGTTTATATATGCACGAGCCTCGTGTATGGAGTTCCTCATGCATGCATGCTAATATGGAAACTTTTCAGGCTCGCATATATGAAGGCTTTGAACCGATCCAGTTCCTTTCTATATTACAGACCCTTATTGTTTTCAAGGTTTGAAGGGCTCGATCTGTTTAATATATATATATATATATATATATATATATATATATATATATATATATATATATATATATATGTAGTTATTGTATTCTAAATAGGAATAAATGATAGACAAAGTGGATGAGGATCCCTTGTAATTTGGTGTGCGCGTGTCACCTGCAGGGCGGTATTAGCGAAGGCTACAAGAAGTTTCTTTCTGAAAAAGAAATCTCGGATGATACATACAGTGAAGATGGTGTTGCATTGTTTCGAATACAGGGTACTGGGCCCGACAATATGCAAGCCATCCAAGTTGATCCAGTATGTAAACATACATAAATACATATGTGCATGAGAGTGACACTAGTAAATGTTATAGAACTTCACATAACATTTAAGTAGTATTATCCAAATAAATAAACCCGCAGGTGGCATCTTCATTGAACTCCTCTTACTGTTACATACTACATAGTGGTTCTACCGTCTTCACATGGTATGGAAATCTTACAACCTCCGATGATCAGGATCTTGCTGAGAGGCAACTTGATATTATAAAGGTGCTTTTCTGGATGCATGATGCTTATTAGCTTAGCTTGTTAATTAGCTAGGTATTATAAATCATGCATGGTAAACTTATACCTCAATTTATATATGGCTGCCATTAATTCATATTCTTTATTTTTGTTTTTGCATAAGTTTGTGAAATATCCATAAAGCAGTAGGTGATTCTCATTTAGCTAGTCATCTTGATTCACCTTCTACTCTCATTTTGACAAACTTCATTGTGATTCATGATGTTTTGTTAGTGGGTGTCTGTATGGTGTCTTGCTGATAGGGGTATGCCCCTTCAATTTGTCTTATGTAGACAACATTTTTGGCATTTATGATATACTTACCTTTATCAATGGAAAAATTAATCCTATTGTTATTTATCTTTATATGTGTGTGCGCAATATAGTAGTGATATAGTACCAATTAATTTACAGCCGGATATCCAGTCTAGCCTGCAGAAGGAAGGTGCGGAATCTCAACAATTTTGGGATATTTTGGGTGGTAAATCTGAATACCCTAACCAGAAGGTTGAAAAAGATAATGAAAGTGACCCTCATCTTTTCTCGTGCACGTTCTCAAATGGTAAGGCCGTCCCTACCTACACTGTGAACCTACAAACTTAATGTATACATATCTAAATTCTGATTCATCTTTACGCACGCGAGGTATGTCTCTTGGAGGCTAAATTAGGAATAATATGAAAGATATGAATGAGGAAAAACTCTTTTATTAGAACTACTCATTTTATACTTGATTTGTTTGATACAAAGTGGTTGTATAAGATTTCTATATTTATACTAGTACAAAAACAATCTAGATTATTCTACAACTAATAATGCATCCTATACAATTAATGATAAGAATTCTAGATTCCGCTCTTCTAGAGAAGTTCTAAAATTTAATCCTTCCACATTTTTCTACTTCTTGGGCTCTTTCCAAACATAACATAAATACATACTGAGTATTCATTAGGCCCAAACATTAACTAAAAACAAGTTAGTTTTCAACATATTTTGTAACTAATGTTTATATCCCAAGAAAGCTAAATTAGGAGGAGGCAAATAATGTTTATTCATGTAACATCCAAATAATGTTACATGAGATGGACCTCAATTACGAGGAGCCAATATTCCCAAATTTGGACTTCTCTTTACCATTTTGCTTTACACGGGTGTCCATACCATTTTAGGTATCGATAATTTCACAGGCGTGAAGTAACAACCAAGTAAACTTTCAGTCGCCTTTCTATGGATCCGAATGAATATAAATTTTTTAATGCATTACTTGGTAAATGTAATATATATAGCTCCACATACTAACTGTGTGTTGTTCTCTTTTTCCTTATTGGTACGTACCGGCTGCTCTTCAGGACATTTGAAGGTGCCTTAATTTCTTATTGTATTTGCTCCGGACAACTTTTCCCCATTCAAATTTTACATGCATGTAGATTGTATTCACTTTTTAAAAAATTATTATAGTATTACCAAAATAGAAAGCATATCACTGCATAGTGATCGACAAAATTAAAGCACAACTATGATTTCATAGAAAGTGACAAAAATACCACTTACTAGTTACTATGGTGTCAAACAGTACATTACCATTTTCATGCATTCAGTATTAGGTAAATATTCAACGACAACACATAGTACCCTCTCAAATTTTGTGAAATGGATTAGGAATACTTTCATCTTCAAACATTCAGTATTATTTATGTATGAGACTTTGATAAGTGCTTTGCCATATGATGCAGGTTGTAGAAATTTTCAATTTTTGCCAGGATGACCTTTTGACAGAGGAAATATTCATCCTAGACTGTTATTTGAATATATTTGTGTGGGTTGGGCGCTTGGTGGAAAACAATCAAAAAATGTTGGCATTAGCTATTGGTGAGGTATAGTTAAACCAATTTGGATTTATAATTTTAGACTACATTTAATCTTTGGTACCATCCTAGCTACCTCTAGATAGAAAGGAACTTGTAGGGTAAATTGTACAAATAATCGAACCATAACTATTGGTATGGATGCATTTCTGTACCTCAACTATCGAAGGAAGTAAATTGGCACTTTAAATACTTTTAAATATTTCATAACGGTACCATTTAAATGTTTGGGCATAATAGTTTACTTTTTTTTATCGTAAAACAGGCGGCTTTATATTAAAATCAAAAACGCATACAAGATAATATTAAGACAGATTTTACAGATCCAATCGTGAACCCTAGGAGTAGACATAGAATCAGTCACCTCATACAAAGCAACCTGACTCGCTAAACCCGAAACGGGCAAATTTAAGCCTAAAACGAATAGATCTGAACCTCTGCCTATCAAAATAACTCCGAAAATCCAAACATTAAAACCAAATCCACTCTGACTAAAACAAAAACTAGCACTACTAAAGAGAAAATAATATTGCAATTAAATATTTCCATAAAACTCTTCCTGGCATGGAGGTGGTTCTGGAGGAGGACGAGCTCTTGCAATATGTATGAATACAAACTCACCCACCGTCGGAGCGGCCGACCAAGGCTTCATGATCCAGCACCAATACAAAATCTCATCCGCAATCCGTTGATTCACCAACGTTATCTCCTCCGACTTAGGTGCAATCCTAAGCGTCAGAACACTTAAAATCAGAATAATCTGCCGCTCCAACCCCATATTGATTGGGTGGCGGAAAATCTCAACCCCTACAAAGAGAGGAGACAGCCGCTAGGTTTTTAGAGAGAAGTCGTAGATTATAAATTTATTCCAAAATAGTTTACTTAATAACCTTAATTTCACGAAAATATAAAAAATAATTATGTGCAATTAATTATTTACCAAATTTATGAAGTTATCTTAAGTTAAGTGTGATTCTGATATTTTGTATATAATGTTTATAATGGCTACATTTTTTTCTTTGGTGAAGTGGTCAGATTAATAGAAATCTAAATTTGCTAATCATTATACATGAATTAATTAATTCATTTCATATGATTTTTTGTGAAAGTAAATAAAGCTCAAACTATTATGCCAAATAATTTAGATCACATTTCAAGTGGAATACCATGGATTTAAATATTCCAATATAATTAAGTTACTGATTTGATTCATTTAATAGTTGAGATACCAAAATGCATCATTGCCCTTATCTAATTAGAACTAGTAGCTCGCTTCCCATGCCATATAATATAATGCCAAATTCCATCTTGAACAAACATCATGCATGCACGTGCTTAGTTTCTATTTTATACATTCTCAGATAGACTTTTTTTCTTGCAGAAGTTCTTCCAAAGTGATTTTCTGCTGGAGAAATTGGCTGAGCAAGCACCAATATACATAGTATTTGAAGGGAGTGAACCACCCTTCTTTACCCGCTTTTTCAAGTGGGACTCTTTAAAGGCTGCCGTAAGTGATCTGATTAGGTCTAATCTATCTTTTTGTGCAAGCTGATTTTCTAACATTACATACTTTTATCTATTTACTACAGATGCACGGAAACTCTTTCCAGAGGAAACTTGTGATAGTGAAAAATGGTGGTACTCCCGGGGTAGATGTGCGTGAGCGCTGGCTTTAATTTGTTACCGTGCATGCATAGAACTGGTTGTAGGTTATCTTTGATGGAGAAAAGATAGATAATACTATTTCCCTGAGGCTATATACATACATATATATAGATAGCTGAAGGTATTAAACTTTTGACGAAGAAATTGCTCCAAATAGGACTAAAAACTGACAAAGAGCACAAATAGAAATACTTACTAGTATGTTTTATTCCTAAAACAGGATTTAGACGATCCTATTAAAAGTATAATACTCCCCCCTCCCCCCAATGAGGATCGAGTGAAATAGTCTAAAAAGTAATGGTGATCGTGTTTATGCACTTTGTGTAGGTTTAAGATCCTTCTAATCTCTTGTGTTTGTTTTCATTAGAAACCTAAAAGACGAACGTCGTCGCTGTCATCGTCATCTTATGGTGGAAGGTCGGTTTCAAGTGAAAAACCTCAACGATCTCGAAGCTTGTCGTCTTCCGGCCCTGACCGAGTTCGTGTTAGGGGCAGGTCTCCTGCCTTCAATGCCCTGGCTGCTAATTTTGAGAACCCTAATTCAAGAAACCTCTCAACACCTCCGCCAATGGTGAGGAATAATAAGATCTTTCCAAAATCTGCAACTCCTGACGCTGCCAAACTACTGCCATCCAGATCTGCAGCCATTGCAGCTCTCACAGCATCCTTTGACAAGACTGCACAGCCAGCGCGCCATGGCATCATTCCATCATCCCTTGCTAAGGGTTTGTATCCTTTTCTTTTTCTTTACTTTGTCTCAAAGGATATGCTTTGCTCTCAAAAAAGATGTGGAAAAACGAATGCATGATTGTCCGGGTTAATTATTAATTCCTTGCTTGCAGGTCGAGCAGCAAGCAGCCAAGAAGAAAACTCGAAACCAGAAACGATCCAAGAAGATGTAAAAGAGGGTGATGTTGAAGATGAAGATGGGATTACCACATATCCTTATGAACGGCTCAAGACCTCTTCCACTGATCCAATTACTGATGAAATTGACATCACCAAGAGGGAGGTATGTTGGCATATATGAAGTAGCTAGCTAGGGTCTCAAAACTCATACAAAGTATTGCTTTAATTGCTTTGAGAAATAAATTTCATATATGTTTGCAGGCGTATTTGTGTGCGCAAGAGTTCAAAGATATATTTGGGATGACAAAGGACGCCTTTTATAAGCTACCAAAGTGGAAACAGAACAAACTTAAAATGACCACTCAATTGTTCTGAGTTTTATGTTCGCGTGGTTCCAACAACGTAACCCCATCCATGCCAAATCAGCAATTCTCTTGTATATACATATGGCCTGGTGCATGTGATGGATTTAAAAGATCCCCTGACTTCATTGTTATGATACACATTTCGTTAACGAACGAGTTCTCAAATATTCATCTCACACCTTCTAATCCAAGCAACTATTGTATAATGTATAGTAGAAGAGTGGCAGGCCAGTGGCAGAACCAGAGTTTTTTACAGGGCGTGCCGGGATCTAGACTAAACATAACGACTGTAAATTGATAAATGATAATTTATAATAACCGTAACAAAAATTAAATACATGTAATTGTCTATATTGAAAGCATTAAAAACAGATTTACACCTAAATACCAAATTCATTTCATTTTCATTTACCCCAGTGCCGCAAAGGCTCCCACCTATGGTGGGGTAAGGGGGATCAGATGTACGCAGTCTTACCCTTGTACTAAAGCACAGAGACTGTTTCCGGATGACCCATATTGAAAATCGCATCCAAAATTGCATGGACTGACTGCTGCTTCATAACAAAGAAGCTAACAAAGAAGCGCAGATAGTTTAGTGAGCCATTTTACTTTATTCCATCATATTCTCAAACCAAAAAATAATGAATCTTTGACTCCATTGCAAATGATGGAAAGTACACCTAAATACCAAACTAATGGATTTTATGTTATACAATTGCTAAATATACCACTTATTCAATACATTGAAACACATGTAACTATATAAGCATAAAGCAAACTACATTCATACGCCAAACAATTATAAGCTTCTCCATACATGTATATATCACATACGAGTAATATTCTAAAATCAATATCACACCATAGTACAATAAATCAATACTCAGAATTCAAAAATTGATTGTTACTTTCTTATAATTCAAATGACACAAATCACGGAATCAAAGAACCATATTTACAAAAGTAGGCGGTCATCTTTCACAAAAAGAAATTGCAATTTTTTTTATTACCTCAAATGACTTGATTCTTGAGAGTTGTGAAAGTAATCTTAAGGAGTTGAGATTTCGGATTAGAGCTGACCGCTGTAGCTATAGCCTTCTTCTCCACTTCGTCGGCCTTCGGGACTCGTTAACTCATTTCTTGCTCTCGCTCAACTGGGTTTCGGCAACCCTGTCTGCAGCGAAACGGTGCCGTTACGGCGTTACTTTTTTTCTCTTACAAACAAGTTGCTGACTAGCTACCCGCTGAACGGAAATGGACACTTGGACCTTGCTGATTTGTTGATTCTGCAGCATCGTTTTTCCCCATTATTGACTAGACACAACGGTGTCGTTGCAACCTAGCTATGCCCAAATTAAAAATAGGTGTAATTTGAGTATTGCAACATATTTTATTGTTCAAATTAGACACTCTCAATTAGGATAGGTTGAAACCAACAAAATTGCTAATGAAGGGTAAGTCTAATTTCAAAATTGTTAAGGTAAATACAATGTTTTAAAAACGGAATGCAAAGTTTAATTTGGATAATAAAATAGATCACAAATTCAAATTATCTCATAAAAATATATAAAATCTGCTGAAAAGTGAACTTGAAAAGAAAATAAAAAGACTCTTGTCATTCCTTTTTTCCGATGTCAAAAGTTTCTAAGTGAACTACAGAGACATCTAATGGTATCGCTCTCTATCATCGTCATCTTCCTCATCTGAGTCACCACTCTCACGGAATCCCGGATTCTTTTCCTGCAAACACAGATACATATTATGCACTACGAAGTAGAATTGCAAAAATATACTTTAAAAAGGTAATGACATGTTTTTAAAGGAATGGTTTGGTGTACGTGTGGGGAGTGGTTATTTTTTATGTTTGATTTTTAAAGTATTTGATCCATCCTCGAGGCAGCACAACATAAGGAAGGGAGGGTGTCCGCATCGGCGCAACCCCTGATTTCACCACATACTTACTACAAGTGAAACCGGAATTGCTTGTTTCCATTTAAGTTGAGCGAAGTCAAAAGGACCTAAAATAATTAAGATACAATAATGTAGAAATTAAAATATTGTAGAGCTCCAGTTAATTGAAAGAATTAAAATATATTAGAGCTCCATTGAATTGAAAGTAACGAATAAAATCTAAAAAATATTTTTGTGATCGCAACCTATGAAATAAATTGTAAAAGTTAAATGTAAAATATCATACAATGAAAAACGCACATGCGTAAGTTTACGAAATTGTTAAGAAAAATTATGCTACCTCTATCGTGAAAACGTTTGTGATATTGACTTTTCATAATAAATGATGACATACTTTGGATAATAATTTTACTAATTATATATATTTTTATATATTTCATAACTCTTACACTTTTAATATAATTTGCATAATCAAAATAATTTCATATTAAAAACGTTATTAATCAGAGTTGATTACCATTGACCAAGAATTTAAGTCAATTTGGCAAACCTTTTTGGGACAAAGCAAATACTTCTTGTATAGAACATTCAACGCAAACTTGTTGATTATCCATCTTTGTCACAAATCACAATATTCAATTCAGGTGAACTTGTTACTCTGAGGATCACCAGGTATAAGAGTCCATGCCTATTACAAATAGGACGACACAGATAGATGCATGTTTTTCATTGCATAGGTAACCATTAATGAATACTATTTGTGCTAAAAGTGAACATGAGTCTAACGGTTGGTAACGTTAAAGTATGTTTATGAATAAGAAACTTTTTCGTGTCATGTTCTCCGTGGATTATTTAAGTCACCATAGTCTCAGCTCCAAGTTTAGTGTCAGTACCATAGCACAATTTTGATGAATGGTCTATATAACTCCCAATCATCTGAGCATCCCCACTTTAAATTTATTTCGTGAATTGACAAACTCTCGACAAACTATAGAATTTGGGAAATCGTTTGTGGCTTGTATATTTTCTCAAGGATACTTGCTTGATTTACATATTTTTTCATAATCCCATGAAAAAAGTTGAAATATATTTCATTCCTACAAAATATGTTGTATCTAATTTTACATCCTTGTATGACAAAAATATTTAAAAGAGCTACGTGTGATTATCCTCCAATGCTCTTATTTCATTTTGCATAGCTTTTCGCCAGCCGGCATCGGTCATGGCTTCTCTAAAAGAGCGAGGTTCCATACCTGCAAGTACAGCCCCCAAAAATGCACGATGGCGGGGGGGGGGGGGGGGATTTTCACAATTCATATAATGAGCTATAGGATAACGCGTACCTGAGGAACCAACGGGGGCCGGCATGAACGAAGATGGGCTTATGTGCTGAACATGATGGGTAACAAAGTCCCGTAGAAGTACCGACGTGCGTTTTTCACGCTGACCACGACCAAGGTTTGTATGCATGGGATGAGTAACAAGATAAGTCGTACTTGTATCGCTATCCATAGCAGTGGTAGTGACCATGTCATGAGAACTACTGGACGTAGTACTGGCACCAAGCCCCAGCCGCAAGTCCTCCTCATCATCCACATATGGCACAGTTACATCCAAAGCAGGTGACATATCACCTAAATTCTTATCTGACCGTGAGCTAGAGGCATGAGAAAAGGGAAATTCATCTTCATAAAATGTAACATTACGGGATACAAAAATATCACCGGTTTCAGGATCATACACCTTCCACCCCTTTTTCCCATTAGGATAACCAAGAAAAACACAACGCCGACTACGAGGAATAAACTTATCAGTGCGGGATTTATGATTATAGGCAAAACATAAACATCCAAAAACTTTCAAATGTTGAAAGTTAGGAGCAATTCCAGTAAGAACTTCAAACAGAGACCTATTCTCAAGCAAACCAGACGGTGTACGATTAATCAAATAAACAGCAGTCAATACACATTCACCCCAAAACCGGATCGTGAGATTAGCCTGAAACATTAAAGCACGAGCCACATTTAAAATATGACGATGCTTGCGTTCAACTCTCCCGTTTTGCTGAGGTGTGTGCACACAAGAAGTTTGAAAAACAATCATGTGAGCTTCAAAATGAGGTATCATGCATTTAAACTCCGTACCATTATCGCTGCGAACAATCTTGACAGACATATCAAATTGTTTTCCAATCATAGCAAGAAACAAAAGGAAAAATTTGTGGACCTCCTGTTTGTTACGCAATAAATACACCCAAACAGCTCTAGAGTAATCGACAACAATAATCAAAAAATAAACAGCATCACAAGTAGAAGGTGTATTATACGGACCCCACAAATCACAGTGTATTAATTCTAAAATGCGACTTGCTTTATTATTGCTAACGGGAAAAGAATCACGAACTTGTTTTGCTTAGCTTGTGGGCAGACAATACAAGCTTTATTCAGTTTCTTGATAGAATTAGAACTAAACACATGTAATAGTTTAATAACACGATCTGAGGGATGTCCCAACCGCCGATGCCACGATGTACATGCAAGAACGATGGCAACTGCAGGGGGTGACAACCTGGATGCAATGACATGGAATCGGAGGCGACTACCTGTAATCAAAGATCTGGAGTCTTCAAAGCTGGAGCTGTGCGGAAATCTTGGGTGGAAGATGGGAAGACGAAAGTGTTGCAACTTGCAAGGTAGATTGCGGAAGAGATAAAGTTGAGAACGGAAGGTTAGCGTTAAAATTAAAGCGAAAGAGCAGCGATCACATTTGTGTCTTTTTTAATAGTGGTCATATTAAAACCCTCTTCTCCTCCTTCACTCTCTTTGGGTGGGGGTATTAGATTTGGGAGACATGTATTTGTTACATTTTTTCTTGGGTGTTAATATATATTTACATTTCATCCAAAAAAAATAATAGTAGTCATATTTTTGTCTAATACAAGTTGGGAAGTAATATTCTTAATTTCCTATTCTATTGTCCCTTAAGATAAGTTAGAATTGCAAAAATATGACCATTATGTTTTATAGGACTAAAAGCGTACTGATATGACAAATTTATCCCTAATGAAAAAATTATAAGTTCTTGGACTCTGGTCCTCCGTCGATGCCCAGGTTTTGTAGTTCTACAATGCTATGTCATAAGTGCATGCACAAGCGTTATGTTTTATTCCTGGACTGACTGTAATGTTTTATATGCAAGCAGGGGCGGAACCAGGGGGAGCGAGCCGGTGCTGCCGCCACCCCTTCGCCGGAATTATTTAGGTATTAGGATCAGGCA